TGGGATGTCCAATTGCATCGGCCTTTATATGCAGCTGCGCATTTTCTTAACCCAGAATTCTTTTACCTAAAAGCGTTAGAGGTGCAAAGAGATTATGAAGTGATGAATGGGTTTTATGAATGCATGCAAAGGTTGGTCTCGGATGTCACTGTTCAAGATTTGATCACTAATGAGATGAGTATTTATATGAAGGTTGAGAGTCTTTTTGGCAAGTCTGTTGCGATTAGGCAAAGAAATACAAGAGCACCAGGTAATATATTATAGACTCATAGAGTTTATTTTGAGTTATACTTTTAGTAAAACTTAATACTTGGTAACAATTATTTCTAACTAGTGATTATCGCAGCTGATTGGTGGGCATCATATGGTTCTTATACTCCAAACTTGCAAACTTTTGCCATAAAAGTCCTTAGCCTAACATGTAGTTCATCGGGTTGTGAACGAAGTTGGAGTGTATTCGAACATGTGAGTATTTAACATTCTAACTAATTTTTTGTTCAATTCAAATATTTTTTATTCTCATTATATAGAATTTAATATCTTTTTAATAATTGCAGCTTCATAGCAAGAAAAGAAATAGATTGGAACAACGTCTCAATGATTTAGTGTATGTCAAATACAATAGAACTTTGAGATTTAGGTATGACATGCGCAACACTCTTGATCCCATATCTTTGCAAAATATTGATGAAAGCAATGAGTGGTTGCTTGGGAGGATGGATGGAGAATCAGATGAAGATAATGAGCCTGTGTTTGATGATGATGATGGCTTGACGTGGGCCACTGTTGCTAGAGCTTCTGGAGTAGAAGAAAGTAGCCATGCAAGTAGAGCAACAAGTTCACGCTCAAAGGCACAACTGAGGATATCTAAATCATCAACATTGACTCCACTTCAATTAATAGATGAAGAGGAAGCGGGCTCAGATGACACAGAGGAGGAAGATGTTGAGGGATACAAATCAACTGATGGAGAAGAAGATGATAGTTTGCTTGCCATTGATGTTGAGGATGATGATTGACTGACACCGACCTAACCTACCCTTTCTTTTGATATTGATGTTTTTAAGTGTTAAGACATATATTAGTATTTGTTGGATATTTATGTTTTAGATGTTTAGTGTTTATGTTTTTATTTTATTGAATGTGGATTATTTGATCTTTGAAAATTGAAATGTTATGTAATATGCACTTTCATGGCTTTGAGAATTATTCTATATTTTGTCTTGAATCTTGATTACTTTTTATTTTTTTAAAAATTGTAATAGTACTATGAATGATTAGTCTATATTAATTTTTCTATTTTTTACGAATTCTGTGCGCCTTACTTCAATAAAGCCCGCGCCTCGCCTTGCGCCTTGCGCCTAGGCTCCAAGAGACCTTCGGCGCCTTAGTGCGCCTTGAGCCTTTAAAAACACTGGGTTGGAAAACTAAAAAAGATTTAACCATGTAATAACCAAGAATAGCTTAAATAGTATTCATCTTTTAGAATAATTTTGAAATTTGTTGTTTGAAAAAAACTTTTCTACTCTAATGATGTAGTGCATCATCTAACTAGATAAGACTCTTTAATTTTCCATCTGCTGTATAATTTAAAATGGGTTCTAATAGTGCACCCTAAAAAAAGTTGAAAAGGAAAAAAATGGCTGTTAAGTGGCATATAATTCCCCATTTAGTTGTATTTTCTTAGCATTTTCTGAGCAAATAATTGAACGATTGACTCTATAGATGCAACCCAACTTGCATAAATTATGAATCCGCAAAGGAAGTTAATAGTTTTTCATTATTTTAGTCCCAAGGAGAAACATAATAGTTATGCCTAGGCTGAACTTTTACACTATTTGTCATTGATAAACATAAATTCATCATTTTCATTTCTACAATGTTCGTATCTCATTATGTTTATATATTTTCTTCATTGTTCTCAATCATTTGATTAAAAGACATATCTACAGATTAGGAGATTTTACAAATTATTTTCTACATATTAGGCTTGTCTTAAACAGTGTAATTTCTTATATATGCTTCCCTATGATGGTTTTTATGATTGGAAGAATTTAGAAACGCGTACTGTTACATTTATCAGTGACTCTTGTTGGTATTTTTTAATTATTTTGGGTTTCTTTTATAGGTGTGGTATTCATTGCTTCAACATTTCACTTCAGAATTTCTTAATGCAATATTATTCCCCTTCTTCTCTTAATTTTCGCTTTGATTCCTAACAAAAATTAATAAATAAAACAATGAACAACAATTAAGGAAACTTCTACAACATATAGCAGACACTTATAATGGGCACTAGGTTGCGTGCCTTGCACACAGCCACTCTCACTAGTATGTATATATATATATAATATATATACGAGAGAATCATAAAAACCAAATCAAAAACCCTAATTTTTCAATTCTCAATCTAAATCCTCAATCAAAAACTCCAAATCAAAAGCCCCAAACCTGTTAATTTTTCAATTGCAAGTTGGAGGATGAACCTGGCTTCGTCGCGGAGGACGTCTTGCCTTTCTTCTCTGGTTCGTCTTCTCTGATCCTCTTCGGTCTTCTTTCTCTGCGTTTTCTGTCTTCTCTCCTCTTCTTCAGCCGTCCCACTCTCTCTCTCTCCCCCGCTCCGTTTACATGGGTGATTTGGTAAGAAATGATGCAAACATTAACATATGTAAAAAGAAAATTTAGATAATTTCAATTTATTTGTCATAATTTAAAAAAATATGGAAAATTTACCCATAAGTCCTAGTTTTTGAAAAGTTGAACCATTTAATTCTAAAAGTTTTCATATGCTCCATTTAGTCCCATTTGCACATCAATCTAATGTTTGAAACATTAATCTGATGTTCGAAATCTAATGTTCGAAACATTAATCTGATGTTTGAAACATTGTAATGGGACCTTTCAGTCTATAAGAAAACTTTTAAGACTAAACAGTGTATAAGTTATTAATTTGGGATTTATTGGTGCATCCCCCAAAAATATATCATTATTAAATGTAACATGAGATATAATTAAAATTTTATGAGTCATGATTAAAAAAATTGATTATAATTAAAAATAAAATGATATAATTAAAGGTGCATATAATTTAAAGAAATAAGTGATAAGTGATGATGACAAAAGTCAATTATTTTCTCATGTTTTATTATAAAGACCATCTCTAGCGATGAATTAAAAATTTTATTAAATTTGAATAAAATTTGATTTGATATCGTTCACTCTAATGTTAAAATTAAAATTTTCATCAAATATTTTTACATCTCCAGTTGTCCGAGAAAACGTCCGAACGGATGTCCTAGAGCTCGTTCGAGCATGAACAAAAAAGCTGCCAAAATTACTCTTGGTGGACATCCGAGAGGATGTCCGGCCTAACAGTAAATTTAAATTTGATGAAAGATGAAAGACTCCTTTCATTTGATGAAAGTTTTAGTTTTGCCTCTATTTGATAAGATTTTGGTTACAGGGTTGAAGCACATCATTTGGCGCTTCTCATCAAATTTGAAATTTGATGAATCATTTTATGCTGGATTAGAGATGCTCAAAGTGAGAGATTTTTGAGATTTTTATAAAATAAAAATAAATAAATAAAATTGTACTTACAAAAATAGAGAAAGTGATGTGACATGGTTTTGGCTTTTTTTCCCACTCCCCAAATAAGGCATAAAGTTTATTTTAATTATTATCAAAAGTAGTAAGATTTTGTAAGAAATAAATTAATTGATTGTAAAATATTATAATATTAAAAAACTGTCTCTTAAAACACAAAGAAAGAAAAATAAATCTTACTCATATCACTCTCTCGTATGCTTTTCTTTTTTACACATCCAAACATGATAATGAGAAAACAAAATCATTTCACTTCATTTCTTTTATTTTCTTACCAGGATGAGAGACCATAGTAATTTTTTATTTTTTTTTCTCACCCTACGATCCAAACGGATTTTTCTCCTTTCTTACTCTCTACTTTGTGATCTTTTCTTTCGTTGTTTTCTTTTCTATCACCTTTTTTTAGTGTTGTTAATTGGATCCCCTCTTCTTTGAACCCCTTCACCTCTACTTTTTTTTTTTTTTTGGTTTTTTTTGGTTGGGGGGGACCTCATCCAATCCCAAAAGTACCCATCTTTTTCAACCCCTACCATTACCACAAGCTTTCTACCAACAACTCTTTTTTCCCACTTCCGGCAACCCTTGTCAACCATTCACCACCTTTTTTTGGCCACACAACCATTCCAGCCCCTCTCCATCACCTCATTCGCACCTCATCACTACCCAAGTCCCATCTCCAGCGACTCTCTCGAACCCTCCATTCACGACCATCAGCCTTTTTTGCAATTTGTCTAGATCTAGTTCGACAGTCTATGACCAAACCACTACCATTTGTTCGGTATTTGTCACGACCCAAACCTGCCCCTATAGGTTTAGCATCGTAATCGGCTAGTAATCCATGATTACCGAAGGCCTATCTAGCAATAAAGACAACAATACAATATAAAGGGGCTAGCGGAAGCCATCCAATAATCTACATCGTCCAATGAGCCGTGAGAACCTGAATGGAAAAAACTTTTATGGACACAACCACATTCATAGTCATATATATATATATATATATACATACCAAAAACACATATACAAGGTAGCATACAGGTTAGGGACCTAATCCCTTCACCATAACTGTACAATCAAGTCTTAAACATTCACTACATTAACAGGGACAAAAGGGTGAATCTGAAACACCCCAAAACAGCCTTGACTCGTGTAAATTCGGAACCTCGATATGAGGCGCGATGGTTGGCTTGACAAAACAGGAGCTTAAGTCGGCGCCTCTAGCTCTGGTCCGGTGTCTGGCCACCTACACATATACATAAACTGTGAGCTATAGCCCAGTGAATAACAAATGTGTAAAGAGGTTAAGAACGATGTCCTTTACAGTCTTTGAAACAATCGATTAGCATTAGAACATTGTCAATCAATATCATTTGTCAATCAATCATTCAATTCGATCAATTCGATTCATCATATTCATTAGGTCAAACGTGGTACATCCAATAGCAACAATACACTAGGTCATAAAAGACCGAACAATCAATTGATGGCCATCATACAATAGTTCTAAGATTTGAAACTGACAGAGATCTCTGTAACAATAACGATGTCAATAACAATAACAATCACAATACGCTATGGATACCACGAATACAGTTCAAAATAGGATCATCATTCAATCGATAAAAGTATCATTTCAGAAAGCAATATGATTTATCAATCTAAAAATAAATACGATCGAACATATCTTTACAACATTGTTACTCACAGATCACAGGGCTATAAGCAGTCCAATCAGCTTTTTTAGGTGCAAAACCTACACAGTTACAGAACGAGTGCATACTAAATTACATATCCAACTTTGGTGACTTAGCCCATTTTCTTGCTTTAGTGTAGTTCCAGTTCATCATTCCTCATTATGATACCTTAAACATGGCCTAGGACTGCCTAGGATGGAAAAAGGATGCAAAAATGTACTTGAAAATGCTTTTCAAAATTGGTTGAAAACAGGGGTCTCGCTCGAGCGTGGATTCCTTCGCTCGAGCGAGCATACCGAATGTGAGTGATCGCTCGAGCGTAGACTCCTTCGCTCGAGCGGTCTGCAAAAATGTGAAAAGTACTGGTTATTGAAAATCTCCGCTCGATGCTCGCTCGAGCGTGAGACACAGTTCTTCGCTCGAGCGCAAGTCTCATCGCTCGAGCGTGCTTCTGCACACGCAAAATTCTGAGAGCTTGCAATTTACGCTCAAGCCAGCCTTCTGTTGCTCAAGCGAGAGTATGAAAATGTAGGTGGTCGCTCGAGCGAGGAAGCAGAATTCTGGGTTTTCTAGATTTGCTCCCAAAGTTCAAACCATGGATTAAACATGCCAAAACTCATCCTTTTGGGCCAAAATTCTGGAAAGTACTTAGAAACTCATAACACATTATGATTTAAAGATCATTTCATAAAATTAAAGCCCAAAAGTATGCCAATTGTGCACAAATCAACTTGAAAATGAAAGAACATGGTGTAAGTATGCCATGCATGTGTTTATTTGAATTCATAGCATCCAAAACGTGATCAAATGAGCCATTCTTTCCAAAAACATGATGAATTCTTAGATTACAACTATAATATGAACATGCATGAGAGAATTTCAT